TTAAAACCACTAGCATCGTAGTATGAAGGGTCATCCTTTGAGATAAATTCTGACTTGCCAGTTTTGGGGTCAATAACTTCGATGTCATCGGATTCAAGTCCAGCTTCACGCATCAACTGCTCAAACTCCTCTTCGCCCTCCACCGGTCCTGGCTCAACAGCTTTCCTTGGGGCAACCAAGTCTTCAATTGTTTGAGCGTCCATCTTCTTCGGATCTGGTGGAGCATCAAGGCTAAGAGATTCGTATAAACCTTCCCTAATGGCCTTGTACCTACCTTTCAAAGGATAAACAAATGGTCCATCAGGTACAGTGAGTTGGTTGACACGAACAACTTGAACTGATTCGTTGAATTCCTTCTCCATGAGGTCCTTCAATGATGCTACAAGAAATTCATTTCTCCAAACGAAACCTGGTTGCATGGCATATCCCAAAAAGACACCTGGATTTGAAGTTGGGTCAAAACGCAGATCTTTCTTGGGTTTAAGTTTCGGACCAGTCCAGTAGTCAACGCGAGCCCCAAAAGGAATGTTGGGTCCCTTGAACTTTTCCCCAAAACGAAGCTCCCATGGAGATAAAATTTCAAGGTGGTCCTGGATGTTATGTGCCATACACCAATGTCGTGCAGCGTAACTCCAATAGGAATGGTGAAGCCCTGCCTGTTCAAGGTTTACTCTAGTCCCTTCAAGTACGGACCTGAGATTCCTCTCGGCGACTGCGTTCGACTTAGAGACATAAGCAACACTAGTGTTCTGCCTCCATCCAACTTCCCGACAAGCGAGCTTGATGGATGGCGCTGCATCGGAGTAGAATACTCCGACTTCTTCACCAGGCGCGACGAAATGCCTAAAAGCTAAAACACAATCCTTGGCATGACTTCTAGCTGAAGGATAAATCCAGCGAAAATTAGTAGCGACATCTTTCATGACCATAGCAACCCTATCACCATCAATTGATTGTTCGTTGGCATCCCTAGTCACAAGATGATCCCCAGTGATGTGATCCCCGAACTTGTTGGATTCCACAGTCAAAGATTCCCCTTTGCTACGTTTAGTAGGTTTGTACATCTTTGCACATTTGCATGTTTCACAAAAAGGATTCTTTGGGGTATGTGTCATCATGTGCCTAAGGGTCCTGGCCTCTTCTCAAAGTGCAGCTTCACCGCGATCAATTGGTTGAGGTTCAGGCAGTTGAAGTCGACCGTCAACTGGTTCTTCAGGAGCTTCGGCTTCATCTTCCGAACCCACATCACCTTCAGGCGTCATGGCTGCTGGAGGTCCTGGCGCAAGTTCACCAGGGAAGAACTCCTCGAGACTATCGTCACCATGTCCGGGGATTTCATCGTCATCTGCGATGGAAGCCTCATAAGGTTCTTCGACCTCTTCGACTTCGTCCTCAGACTCGGTGCCAACAGCTGACATGCGAGACCTTCGAATAGGTGAGATGATGGGCTTGCCGTTCCCGGCAGCGGAGTTCCATGAAAACGGAATCCCTACTGCAGCGGGTACCTGGCCATCTCTGGACGGTAAATAAGGAACAAAATCTTTAACTTCAAGTTTGATCTTGGTTCCATCTTTCTTCTTGAAATATGGGCGACTAAAGCTTTTCCAAACAAAATCCCATCCATCTTGAATACATCTCATCCCTACCGATATTACAGCCGGGGTATCAGGAAGAACATATGGATGAACTTCTTTGTCGATGCAATCAATATGAACCGAAGCTTGTTGGTCAGCTGATTGGGAACCATTTGCAGTGATTAATTCAAGGGGTTCATGAGAGTGATACACGATGTCATCGGGAATCATCTTGCTGCAAACTAAGTCCTGGGCACTACCGGTGTCTGCGATCCATGCAATTTCAGCGGATGCATTACGCTGCTGAGAGGGCATGTGACCTGGTAATGCATTCAAATCGGAACGGATGCAGTGGCGACAGCCGATATCACTGTCACATTCAAAGCTGCATTTGCAAAGTTTACCATGCAACTCTCGAAAGACAGCTGATTGCAACATCTGTGCTGCAAGTATTGCATCACTTTCTCGGGCTTCGATCGTATCTTTACGAGTACGATCGTCCTTGGTGATGCGAACTGGATTGAAAGTTCGTTGTTTGGCTTGGCACGGATGCAAATTACAATTTTGCTCAATTGGAACTTCGAAGATTTCATCGTTGCCCCCAAATGAAACAGTGCGATTGGGTGTAACTGGCATGGCAAAATGCTGGTTGAAACAATGCGGAGAGGCGATGCCTTCCGGCACGCGATGAGTGCTGGTCGAAGGGTTGACGACTGCGGCCATCATCAGAGCGCGCATCAGGCAAACTGCAGCTGAGCCAGAGGAAGATGGTTTTCCCCCTTTGTCCTTGAGACTCTGTGAGCCCTTCGCGGAGTTGGAACCTCGACTTGACGATCTGGAGCGATCGCCCTTCTTCTTGTTCTTCTTCTTCTTTTTCTGGCTCTTTCCACGCTTGTCATCTTTGGTAGATGCAGCTGCAGGCTTTGGTGGGTGTTGGAAAGCACAGTCATTACCTCGTTGACACTTACCTGCCTTCCAAAACTTACACACTTGGTTCCTAGATCCTGGAGACAAAGACCGACCATTGCCCCTTGATTTGGACCTAGATTTGCCTTTCTTACCTCCGCCTTTTCCTTTGTCTGCCTTTTCATGTTTGTACCGGCAATCCTTTCCCCTGGTACACTTGCCAGCCTGGAAGTCGTAGCAAATGCCAGTGGGCTTTCCCGCAGATGGCGGTCGCGTGGGTGCTGGCGTAGCATCTCTTTTGCCTGAAACGGACTTCTTGGTAGCCTGGCGCATCTTCTCAAGACGTCTCCTCTCTAGGTAATCCCTCGCAGCTTTCATGAGAAAATCATAAGAGCGGTTGGGTTCCCCCTCCGGTGTGCGATCATACACAGCCAGATCATGAGAGAGAGGCTTGAAGTTCTTGATGGCGTTGTGAAAGTAGGCTTGCTTCCACATCATGTCAGGCTCGGAAGTCATTCCAGCGATCACAGCGTCCCATCGGGTGATGAAACCTCTGAGATCATCATTGACTAAGGTAACAGCCATGAGGTCCTCAATGTCGTACACTGCACCATGCTTCCTACGTGTACTGAAGTGTTTATGAATCATGAGCAATGCTTGACGTCCCCTAGCTGGTGTCCCTGACTTGGCTTGTTCTTCTTTAAAAATGTCAAGTTGCCGTGCAAAGTCCCCTTCGCAGATGTTGGTGAGCGAAGACATGAGCTTTGCGTCCAGGGTCACGAATTTACCTGAGTCCTTCAAGGCATCGACAGACTGATCTGTCCTAAATACTTCCTCTACCCACTGAAAAGCTAGGTCGGGCTTGGCTGAAGCAGCAATTATGGCATCCCTTACTCGGATTCTCCAATTCCTATAATTTTCGGGTTGAGGGAACTTAGGAACTAGGATCCTATCAGACTCTTTGGCCTTAGTATCAGTAGTCCTAGAACGCTCTAAGGCCCTTTTGACCTTTCGTGCAAAGGAACTCTCAGAATCCGAACTTGACGTCGTAGGGGATGTTGATGATGAAGGTGAAGATGAAGGATCTCTTCGACGTCGTCGTCGCGAACGGCCACGACTAGTCTTGCGGTCCTTCTTCTTGTCTTTCTTGTCCTTGCGACCTCTCTTGTCGTCATAGTCATCATCACCATCGTCATCTCCTGGAGGTCCACCGCCGGGTAATCCCGGTGGCTTCAAAGGTTCTGCCTGAAAATGCTCATCGTCAGCATCTGATGAATGCTGAGGCTTCTTGCTTCCCGAAGCTACCTCCTCAATGGTTGGACCCTTGTTCCTCAAGGATTGTGGAATGGGTTTCCCGGAACCATAATGAATCATAAGTCCAGGAGTTCCCTCCAGAGGTTGAGACTTTAAATTCCGGATGAGCTCTCTCTGCTCCTTCCGAAGCTTCTCAATCTCCGCCTCGAAGTCCTTCTTCTGAGATTCGGCCAGCTTATGCATGTTCAAAGCGTGTTGATTCATTGCATCAATCTGAGTGCGGTACTCGGCAAGTTCTGAACGTGCTGCCTGCAGATCAGCATTGGACTTCTCCGCAGACGATGTCAAGACACCTGCATTGTTGACCACATGAGTCAGCTCGGCACTCAGTTCCCTGATGCGATGATCCTGCGCTGTGACCTGCAGTTGAGCAGATTTCTGCTCACTCATCGCCTGGGCGGCCTGCTCGTTCAACAAAAGGTTTCTCCTGGAAATTTCTTCGGCTGCTTGTTGTTCAACGCTTGCAAGTTGATCTCGAGCCTCACTCACAAGCTCCATTCGTTGACGTTCCATGACCTCAGAGTGGCGTACATTCGCCTCACTCTGCAATGCCTGCTGTTGAGCAACCATGAGTTGGTTTGCCAGGTTTGGATCAAGACCTTGTTGTACCACTGCCACATTGGCGGTACGCTGATCAACACTGTTAAAGTTGATGGTGTTGAGCTGACTGATGTCAATGTTTGAGTCCAAGACACCTGGCATGTTCCTGCGTGGATCTTGACGGCATGGGTCAAACTCTTCATCCAGATAACTCATATCCCCTTCTGTCGTAGCCGCACCTGAGTGGATCACCACTTCCTCCGGTTGCGTAGGGTTCGCTAAGGCCAGAGCAGCCGTGGCGTTCCCGCCCGGGGCAGGGAGCGCGGGGGTTGAAGCCATTGCGAAAGCTACAGAGAAAGAACGAAAAGTGCGAGAAAGGAAACCAGCCAATCACCTTTGGCGATACGGCTGATAACCTGTAGAAATACGGTAACAGCCACTACAAACCACGAATACGCACTGCTTATTTCTTGAGCCAATGCAACATGTTAGAGGTGAAACAGCTATATGTAGACTACTACTGTGCAACAACATGAAGTATGTTACGGGCATTGTCATCGTGATCATCATGGACCAATGATTGACCAATGTACAGTACATGAATGCATCATCAGCATTCAGAATATTTCAAAATTGTGTTTGGGGTTTCGACTCGTTTCAACTTGCCTCGCTGCCAAACAGCTGCGTAGCATGGTGTTGCACAGCACGTTGAGCCTCCTTTGTGGCCTCGAGTCTCTAAAGTGAAGATGATTAAAAATAATTGAAGATGATTAAAGTGCCATAAAGTGCCTGGATTGAACCGAACACACCTGCAATCCGCAGCCCCACGATGCCCAATGTGCTCACACCGGATACCGCACTCAGCTTGTGGCAGCTCGCGCTAGTTCCACTGCATCTGCAGGTGTCAGAGACCTCACGAACCACAGGATGCCTCACTCCATGGGACTCGCTCGGCCACGATGAGCCAAGTACCCCATCCAATCCGACAAGCTGCCAGATCCTGCAACGGATGGCAAAATCATGCAAAATAATGCAAAAATACGCCCAAGATATCACAAGATAGGACAAGAATGGACAAGATATGAGAAAGATACGAGAAGGACTGCTCCATCACTCCAGAGAAGCGTGTAGCAAAAGAAGAAAATTTGTTTAACTAGACGACGGATGGCCCGAGAGCGTAGAGGAGCAGGATCTTCTCTTGTTAGTATGGAGACGCAATATTAGAAACGATATATGAAAGCTGTGTTATAGGCAGTCGAGAAGAGGAGCATCAAGACAAAATAGTGAGAAGTGCAAGACAATAGTTTGCATCGCAAACACTTTTACACACAGACGCTTTTACACACAAAGCTTTTACACACAAAGCTTTTACCCACAGAAGTTTTTACCCACAGAAGCTTTTACATACAGAAGCTTTTACACACAGAAGCTTTTACATACAGAAGCTTTTACACACAGACGCTTCTACACAGACACTTTTACACACAGACCCTTTTACACACAGGAGCTGCTTTTACACACAGAAGCTTTTACACACAATCACGTTTAAACAGATGCAATTTTACATACAATCACTTTTACACACAAACTTCTTTACACAGAAACACTCGTACACACAAAACCGTTTACACACAAAGACTTTTACACACAGAAGGTTTTACACACAACACTTTTACACAGATGCACTTGTACACACAAACCCTTTTACACACAAACATCTTTACACAGAAACGCTCGTACACACAAACCCCTTTTCGTGCGAAAGGGTTACTCCAGCACACGAAAAATCGCAATTTTACCTCAGTTTTTGCCGATCGACCCTCATTTCGTGCGAAGGGTTGCTCCGGCACAAGTAAAATCGCAATTTTACATCAGTTTTTGCCGATCGACCCTCATTTCGTGCGAAAGGGTTGCTCCGGCACAAGTAAAATCGCAATTTTACATCAGTTTTTGCCGATCGACCCTCATTTCGTGCGAAAGGGTTGCTCCGGGGCAAGTAAAATCGCAATTTTACCTCAGTTTTTGCCGATCGACCTTCATTTCGTGCGAAAGGGTTGCTCCAGGACAAGTCAAATCGCAATTTTACATCAGTTTTTGCCGATCGACCTTCATTTCGTGCGAAAGGGTTGCTCCAGGACAAGTCAAATCGCAATTTTACTTCAGTTTTTGCCGATCGACCCTCATTTCGTGCGAAAGGGTTGCTCCAGGACAAGTCAAATCGCAATTCTACCTCAGTTTTTGCCGATCGACCCTCATTTCGTGCGAAAGGGTTGCTCCAGGACAAGTCAAATCGCAATTTTACCTCAGTTTTTGCCGATCGACCCTCATTTCGTGCGAAAGGGTTGACGTTTCGTCACTCGCCGCCGGCACCACCCTCGGCCTTAAGAGAGAAAGATAAAAAGAAGGCGTGAGAGAGAAGGTGAGCAGTGTGAATATAAGATGAAGATGAGCAGATGTGAAGATGAGCAGATGTGAAGATGAGCAGATGTGAAGATGAGAAGATGTGAAGATGAGCAGATGTGAAGATGAGCAGATGTGAAGATGAGCAGATGTGAAGATGAGAAGGTGTGAAGATGAGAAGATGTGAAGATGAGCAGATGTGAAGATGAGCAGAGATGAGCAGATGTGAAGATGAGCAGATGTGAAGATGAGCAGATGTGAAGATGAGAAGATGTGAAGATGAGAAGGTGTGAAGATGAGCAGATGTGAAGATGAGCAGATGTGAAGATGAGCAGATGTGAAGATGAGCAGATGTGAAGATAAGAGGATGTGAAGATGAGAGGATGTGAAGATGAGAGGATGTGAAGATGAGCGGATGTGAAGATGAGAGGATGTGAAGATGAGAAAAGATGTGAAGATGAGAGGATGTGAAGATGAGATGTGAAGATGAGAGGATGTGAAGATGAGAGGATGTGAAGATGAGAGGATGTGAAGATGAAAAGATGTGAAGATGATGAGAAGATGTGAAGATGAGAGAATGTGAAGATGAGATGTGAAGATGAGAAGATGTTTTACAGACCCCCACTATTGGAAGAACCCTGCGCTCAGACGCTCTCGGGAAAAAAGTTTAAAAAAGAGTTTAAAACTTTGTTGCGAGCGTGGAGCGATGTGAAGCGCCCCTGCCGGTGTCGGCCAGACGGGTCCCGGCGCCTTGGCCCAAACTTCTCTCCAGGTCTAGGCCTTAGTGAAACTTCCTATGCTTCCAACGTTGTTACATGTCGTTATATTGATATGGGGGCCCAATACTATGTCAGACGTGTGGTATGTGTCTTCAAATGATATTCATGTTGTGTGCAGCATAGGCTGCAAGAAAGGAGCTGCTGCGATGATGCAGCAATTTGCTGGATAGAGTTGAGTTGCTGGCACAACTCACCTCGTTGTGAACAAGAAACTATCGATATGACCCCGAATTTTACTCCACGTTCTTATTGTCAAGTCAAGTCAAAACCGGTCTTCTACCGCCACTTCAGAATGTTTTTTCATATTGTTAGAGCCTTTCCAGAATCCTCATCGAGAAAGACCGTCCCTGCCAGCATCTCAAATCTTCACCACTGAGCCACTTTGTTTCAAACAAAGTAGGTGACCCTTGGTCAATTTGGTTTGGTAGCCAGAAAGGACATGCATATTACATGCATATTACATGCAATGCAATGACTTTCATTATGATTTAATTGTATTTAATCAATTTAGTCTATGATTTTCATGGCTTTGCAACGGGGCTGACTGTGGATCCGCGGCGTTGCAAACCTCGCCGAAGGAAGTATCCAAAGCGAGCTGCAGAGATAAAGTTCTGCCGTGCCAACAACACCTCAGTCGACTCAGTCGACTCAGTCGACTCTGACCCAGCATATTGATCTTATATTGATCATATTGTATGCATCTGAAAGAATCTGAAAGAATCTGAAATAGAAGCGTGGATTCTTTCATCTTTCATATTCTTTCCATTAGTCTTTCATATCCTTTCCGTGCATTGGTCAACTCGCGTTTTCGCTTTGACTGGCGCGGCGGCTCATTCTTGTCAATGCTCTCTAAACATATGATAGGTGCTGTGATGATGGCGGTATGCATGTCCAACTCCAATCTTGTTCAAGTGGATTTAAGTGGTTGATTGAACCTTGTCCAGGCAAGGAGTTTCAAAGAGGGCAAATTAAAGATGACATTCCTCTGCACATTCCTGTCACCTTTGAAATGGCACAACAAGAGTCAATAAGTGTAACATCAAGAGCAACCACGTGACACTTCCTCGGATGGCGTTCTGCATCTCTTCCTTGGGTACACGGAGAAGGTCGGAGCAAAACAGCGAGACGGTGCTAGACACCTGTCTCAGTAGGGTATTGCCTTTCAGACCCAACCCCAGGGTAAGATCCGTAACTGCCACATGCAAGTTTTGATGGGGATAGTCCTGCTTTGGCTAGTTTAGCAACCCATGAATGTTTCGGGCGCGTTTGGGGTAAAAAGTCACGTACAAATATCTATGCATGCAAGGACGTCTAAGCCAACAAGGGCGTGTAAGCACACACTCGTCAATACATTGAGGTAAACTTTAACTGTAAACGGGTGCCTTGGCCCCCTTGTTCCATTGTCATGTTGGCTTTGCTAGTGCGAAGCTCTTGGGTATGCTAGCATAAGTTCTAAACACAATACAAAATACCCTACATACAAAAAAAATGAATTACATGACATAACATTGCATCACATCACATTAATTACACCACGTACACTGCCCTACACTGGCTGATTGGAAACCAAACTCTTGACAAACGTGGAAAGTGGAAACTATCTTGCGCCAGTACCGTAGAGTACACGTGCCGCAACCATCACAATGCATCTGCATCTGTCCATTGCACTCGACTACATAGGTGCAAGCCGCAGTCTTGCTCTGCGCAGCCGTTAAAATTCTGTCAGCAAATACCTGTTGCATTGGACATCATTTGACATCATTCGCCAACAGCACGATGGCACGAAACGAAAACTCTCTGCTGAGAGTGAGGCACTTCCACCATAGAGTTGCGCATAGCTTGGCAAGGCCCCCAGTCATGTGCAGTTCAGGTCACTTGTCTTGCCAGCCTTCCTCTTGAGAGCTTGGGAATGATTTGTCTTTGGTCTCGGCATTGTGGAACCTCCTGCAGCTTTCATGCACGTTCAAGGTTTCTTGAATTGTTTAGATTATTTGAGCTTTCTTGAGAACGGTTGCCTATTCAGGCTTTTACACCGTGGGTTATGGGCATACAATTATATACTATGCTACGAGTACCATGTACTGCGCGGCTGGAGTCAAGTGTGTTTACATTGGGTTCGGATGGGTTGAGCTTGAACTCAGACTTGAAGCTAGGATCGGCCTCAGCATGAATTCAGGCGTGGGTGCATGAGGAATATTATACATAGCTATACATAGCTTACATAGCAATATTATTTCAGATTATTTCAGCATATTTCAGCAAACTCTGAGGCCAAGAGTCTGGTTCCGCTTCCACTCGGTCTTTCGCCTCGACGGCTGCTTGTTTCACCTCCACACTCACCGACGTCAGCACAAGTGATAGTGATTGGAGATGATAGGAGATTATTGCATTGTACTCAGCTATTGATCTTCGTCTCGTACAACGCGAAGCTGAGTGCACAATCGCGCGTGCTTAGCTGGAATCATGTTGCCTATGCTTTGCAGGAGGGAGGAGGAAAATAGTATAGGTAGTATCGGGATGTAGTTGGAAGTTGGAAGTTGGAATGTAGTATAGGTAGTATCGGGTAGTATAGGTCGTGCGGTACAATGCAGTGTGACCGAATGTGACGTATGGCATAAATGTGCTTATATAATCGTAGTGTGACGCAATGCAAGTGTGATGTGGCGTGGTCTGAGGTGATGTGACGTGACGTGATATGATGTATGCACGTGCTTCTATGCACAACAACACGCACCCACATGCAAACACACATACACACACATATTCCTGAAACATGTATATAAATATAAATATATGGGTACGCATCACATAGTTCGCATAGAATACTGTATGCTATATATGATATTCTACATATCATTGATATCATGTTAATTCTCAATTTCCGTTTCTGTCTGGCAACCTGTATTACTGGCGAAGGACTGACAAAATCTATGAAATGCATACAATGCCTCGGTCTCTCCAGCTATGTCATCTAGCTGACGGAGATAAAGCTCTGCCTGCAACATGGACATGTGATGTGCACGCAACATGTAGATCAAAGATGATTAAAGTGGTTCGGGACTGAATTTCAAACAGCGTCGCGAAACTTGCTCATGAAAATGAGTTTTGTGCAGTGGCAAAGGAATTCCTCGGCGAGTGTTTAATGATGTTCAATGTCAAGGCGCCTGCCAGAAAGCGCGACCTGCTGGAGAGATGGTTTCCACCTGCCAGTACTCCGCAAGCTTCGGTGCGAATTTGTGACATACCACTGATCATATTTTTTCTGCACATGAATATCACGTTATTTTCCCACATGTCTGCCCTGCACATAGAAGATGGTCATTGCCTTCGACAGGAAGTTGAACACCAGGCCAGAATTTTCACCGAGAAAATCAAGCAAAGCTTCCTTCAACTGAAAAAAACAAAAAAAAATAACGTCTGACACATAGACCTCATAGATACTTAAGAAATCCGCCCACACCGCTTTGGCGGTGAAGGCGTGCTTATTGGGGGGCAAAACAGCAACACTAAATGCTCAATGACATTTGTTAATATAGCAGTCGCTATATCAGCTTTAGCTGGGGGGGGGCAAAAAACGGTTTCGCACCGAGACCAGAATACGGTGGTGTTTTCGACATTTTTCGAGGATTTTTGGGTGTCTGAGCGCAAGAGGGTATTGAAATGGAATTTTGGGTCATTTTGGTAGCTTTCCGGCAATGGAAAAACGGCCAAAAATGAAAAAAACATTGTACATAGCAAGATTTTGCAGGGTTTTTGGATGCCAGAGAATTGAAAACACTGCAAAAACAAGTGTTTTGGACTGACGTTATAGCAAAAAACGTGTAAATTACCGTATGCTTGACTGGAAACATTACAAAAACACTGTCAAAAGCAATGTTTTGGAAGGATTTACTGCCTTTATGGCAAAAAAACGTGTAAATTACCGTCTGTTTGACTGGAAACATTGGAAAAACACTGTCAAAAACAATGTTTTGGAAGGATTTCTTATATATATGTTGGAGTTGGCTACCGGCATTGGAACATGGAAAAATTGAAAAAAACACTGTAAATAGCGGTATTTTCAACGGTTGGGGAGATAAGGGAATTGGAAGCATTGTCGAACATGATGTTTTCGACCGGTTTTATGGCGACAAAAGTGTAAAGTACCGTGCTTTGAAGGAAACCATTGCAAAAACATGGAAACACATTCAAAGAACACGGGATTTGGGGGACTATCTAGGCGTCGTTGTCTAGCTATTTGAAATTCCGCAGCGTGGAGAGCCTCCAAGGGAGGGAAAAGTGAAAATTCCATAGCTTGGGAAGCTGTCACGGCGGGGAAAAGTGAAAATTAAATTCCCTAGCTTGGGGAGCCCCCACGGGGGGGAAAAGTGAAAATTCCCTAGCTTGGGGAGCCCCCACGGGGGGGAAAAGTGAAAATTCCCTAGCTTGGGGAGCCCCCACGGGGGGGAAAAGTGAAAATTCCCTAGCTTGGGGAGCCCCCACGGGGGGGAAAGTGAAAATTCCCTAGCTTGGGGAGCCCCCACGGGGGGGAAAAGTGAAAATTCCCTAGCTTGGGGAGCCCCCACGGGGGGGAAAAGTGAAAATTCCCTAGCTTGGGGAGCCCCCACCGGGGGGAAAAGTGAAAATTCCCTAGCTTGGGGAGCCCCCACGGGGGGGAAAAGTGAAAATTCCCTAGCTTGGGGAGCCCCCACGGGGGGGAAAAGTGAAAATTCCCTAGCTTGGGGAGCCCCCACGGGGGGGAAAAGTGAAAATTCCCTAGCTTGGGGAGCCCCCACGCGGGGGGGAAGTTAAAATTCTTAGCTTGGGGAGCCCCCACGGGGGAAAACCACCCTTAGCCCCTCTCACGGACCGAAATAAACCTGCGGTGTGGGCGGCCACCCCACGCGAAGCGGGGTGAATACTTTAGATCCTTAAGTGAGTGGATTGAAATGCAGATGTACAGGCACTTGCGGTACAAAGAATCGAGGGAAAGAGATTCTTCATCGCCTGAAGATCCAGAAAATCTGGGATCGAAGAATTCCAACCCCTGGATGCCAGACTTACTTGAATTGACATAACATAAGTCTGCAGCAAGTCAACCATGTTCTTCAATGTTCTTCTTTGAATTGACGGACATTGTGCCGCAGTCCTCAGCACCTCGCAAGGGTGGGATATCCAAGTATTTGGCGGGAATAGTGTAGGGCCGCAGCCTCCAACTGCCACATCAAAAAACGAGGAGGCTGCAAAAAAGATCAAAAAAACGCAAGAGCAAGGCACTATAAGGCACCCACGCCAACTGATTCCATGATATTCCGTTCTCATTTTTACTCGTAAATTGGTGGCTGCTCATTCTATCGGTCCTGTCCAGGGCGCTATCAGCCATAACAGCAGCAGCCCGCCATGAGCGCTGGCATGATATGAGTTGAGCAAGTTATTCAATTTGTGCAGATTCTGTCCCGAAATCCATCGCAAAATCACACTTCAAAATGGTACAGTGTCCGAGGAAGGAAACACGAAACAACACCTGAACTGTCCTACATGTAAAAAACCAACATCCTGGAATCGTCACAACACGCAGTTCTACCAGAGGTTCGGAAAAATGCGTCAAGTTTCGAATCGCAAACCAGCCGTGGATACCTTCTCCGCAGCATCGCCTAAAAAAACACAACCCAACACGTCCCACCAGGTGTTAACATAACTGTCCCACCGTGTCAATGGGAAAAATGGAAACCAAAGACCATTTGCTCCTGCCGCCATACGCCGCCATTTCATATCATTTTATGTCACTGATCGTCACTATTATACGAATGGTGATGGAATACCATGGAATACCGAAGATGCGAACTTGCCACAAGTTGAGGCCAGTACCGTCCTTCTCACCAGCATCCGCCTGCGTGCACACCACTTACCAGGCTGCCCAACCATGCCCAACTCAGTGAACACTGAGTGAATATATGATATTTAATATATGTGAATATAATGTGAATATTGTGTCGCTTCCCACATCCCTGCCCAACGCCTCAGCCTGTAGCAAAAGCCATTTGGCATCTGCTTGGGCCAATGCATCTGCCAGGGCCTGCTCGGGTGCCTAAGGGCATCAGTTGGCGTCAGTGGGCGTCTCATATCTCAATGTCTAGTGTTGGCCTGTACCAAGGCCCAAGGCACAGTGAGCTGTGATATTTTGACATTAAAAAAAACTGTCAAAACATATCAAACATACATACAGGTCGCGAGTCGCGAGGATGTTTTGCCTACGTCACTCTTGGTTTGGAATATGAGTCGAGTGTTGTGCAAACTTGGTTGGGGTCGGTACCTCACGCCACAGGTTCCTTTCTCCAGCGCCCTTCACAGCCAGTTGAGCATTTGCATTTGCGGAAATTTGCAGTAAACTTGTATACATGATTATACATGCACAAATATGCTTAGTGTATGTGAGGACACGGCTCTAGAGAGCGCACATCTCTGCCACTCATTCGCCCAATTCCCAGGCGCACAGATGGCTTCACACTGGCGGAATGACACCCTAAACCTCCAAGCATCTCCAAACCTGGAACCGGAACCTTTCCCATTTCAATTTCCCATGAGGGGATCGTTTTGTTGTGGTGCGCAGCATGTGAGTTTGTGCATGTCACCAATTTTGTAGCCTTTATCTGGCTGCACCTCATGGCATGCGTGAGCATTACATGAGCATTACGTGGCTGTGCAGGCGATGGATGGCGATGGCATCTGCCTCTTTGGCCGCCTTTCGGGCAGGACATCTGCTGTTTGAATGGCCTTCGGAAGTTGGACTGGCCGAATGCAACTGATGCAACTCATGGCAAGTCTCATCAAGTCTCAAATGTTTTTGTTGCACCTCTTTTGCAATCGTCGTTTGATCTTTTGATCACTTTTGATCACTTTTGATCACTTTAGTTTTGGTCCATGTCAATCCGTGTGCCAGCACAATCAGCACATATCATCCAAGAAATTCTTGGCTGCCCTTTCAAGCCAGTTCAATTTCAATCTAAGCCCTTCTAAGCTCTTTGCCTGGAAATGGCCCTCGGGCAAGCCATGCCTTGAAACCAAAGGCCAGTCACCGTCAGTCACCGTCAGTCATTTTAGTCAAGCAGAATTTTGGAGCAGGTGTACCTTGCTGGGCGGCATTTCAACAATATTCAAAACGCATCGAAATCAAGAAACGCTGGTCTCAGCACTGCAAAATCACACACCTGCCATGGTCCCAGCACGCTAGCTACCAACACCTGGCTGCAGCTTCTGCAAACCAGAAGCATACATAACCAATAGAGATTAAATATAGCGTCTCTAATGCAACTCTTTCAGCACTTCAGGATGAATGTTTCTTGAAGCTCTGCCATGCTCTGCCTAGTTCTGTTTGTGTCTGCACATGCTCACGTTAACTAGCACCGTTATCGTCTACATGTGAACTCAGCAAGGAATGCCAAGCGCTGGAGTTTGATCCACCAAGGTGCAGAAGTGCGCTCCGGTGACATAGCATCGCACAGACCCGGAGTGAATATAGAGAATACCGAATGATTCGAATGAACATTTCACTCATTTCACTTGCGGCGTTGGACAACAAAAATGTGTTGAGACTGTTGAGCCTAAGGGAACTCCCATCCTCACTGTGCAACTTTACCAAGCTATGCCGCCTGCTTTGTCTAGTCATAAATGGCAATATGGTTTTGATATGCTTTGATGTTTCATTTCAATGATTTCGGTCATATGATCTGTTTGATGTAATGCAAAGAAGCATCTGAGTGTTTTTCCATCTGGCTTGAGCGTAGGGGCACTCAATGTACGACTTTAGGGAAAGGAAACACTTTGACTCGAAGAACCACAAGCAAGTGGCATCCACTGAACAATTCATGACAATTTCACTTCCATGAAAAAAGAGAAAAGAGAAGGGCAACATTCCAACAGCCTTTTTATCAAGCAATGAATATGAGCAAACGTGTGAAATTGTTTAGTTCTTCTACGTTCTTCTTCTCTTTCCTTGGCGTCAGCACAGTCAGCACACCCTGAAACGGGCAGCAAAGGTCATCCGCCCTCCTTCTGCCGTCGTTTTCGAAGAATTTCTTCTAAAGCAGCGCTGGAATCGCTGATCTGGCTCTTGTTCATCACAGTGCGCTGGTCCACAGCGTTCAGTTTGTCAGTGAGTTTAGAACATTGAAAGTTCACACTTTTGAGATGTTCCATGGCTCTGCTGACTTCTTGCTGCAGCTCTTGATGAAATTGATCAGCGGGTTGCTGTTGGACAAACAAACGAACACTTTGCACTTGAGCTGGGACCCACGGAGAGTACAACACTTGAATCGGTAGAAGTGAAAAGTCTATTGCAAGAAACATCTCGAACAAATCTTCTTCATTTTCCGGACTCCAAGGCCCTCCTGGCCGGCAGAGATCTCGGTATGTTCCCTTCAAGTACTCCAAAGCTTGACGAACAAGACCAGCATCCTCGCACAAGGACCAGCAAGCCAAATCCCAAAGCACTTTGAGTTTGGGGACCTCGCAGTAGTCTGTGTGTTTGTACCACAAGTGTCTCATAATCACTTGACGACCGTAATGCAAAATGGGTTTGTCCAGCATTGCCCGGCCCTCCATCATTGTGCGTCGCAAGAGTGGAATTGTCAACAAGCCTTCGTCCCAAAGACAGGAACCATCCACTTCAACGACTTGCGGCTGTGCAGAGCAAATATCATCTTCAACTGCCATCCGGCGAACGAGGAGTTTGCCACCGGTTGGCTTGGAATCATTGGAATCATTGGGGTCATCGCCGAAACAATCAGGCCAGCTGTGTGGCAAGAAACCTTCTTGAAACACAAAAGCGACGTGGAACAAGCGCCGTCCCAAGTATTCGAGCCTCCAAAGACGGTGTTGTCCTGCCCAATGTGCGGGACACCGGGTCCCCTGTCCTCCACTGTTTGCCTTCTTCCCGGCATCCATGCAAGCTCCAAGGATGTCATTCAAAAGTTCTGACGCCAAAATGGTTTTCTGGCAATGATCCCAAGGCAAAAATTCGGCAAGCAAAACATGTTCAATGATATCAGAGAGTTCTTCTGCTTCCATTTGCCGATATCGACTCAAAACCCGGAGCAAGGCTTTGGAAGCATCTGGATTTGAAACCACATCAACTAGCCAAGCTGGTGGTACAGGAGCAGGGTGGCACCATGACAGTTTTTGCATCAAGTCGCTGGCAAAGGTGTTCCTAAAGATTTCACGTGCTTTGAGTGTACGACCTTCTCTGAGGTCAGAGTCAGCATAGTCAGCACTCAGCAAAAGAAGGACACGAACGAGCAAAGCTGACCAATTGGAGGAAAGCCGTTCTGAATTTACATATCCAATGAGCTCACCAAACACAATGAGAGTTGAATCTTCAGCAGTCTCAACAAGTTCAGCGGGCAAATCCTCATGCGCTTCTTCATCCTCTTTCATTTCTCCAGCCATCTCTGCTTGTTTCTGCAGGACTTCCGGTGGGGCAACCGCAGCAAGCCGACGCCGCATGCAACGCAATGCAAAAAGATGTGAGTCCCAGGAGACTTTTGCTCTCAAAGGTTTGTCCATCAAATTCCTCGGTTCGTTGTATCATACTATATCTATTTATATCTCATGTAATGCAAAATCTTGGCAGCTCAGTGCAAATTGGCATGCCCAGGAGCGAGTTAGTTGCATATCGTATAAATCACAAAACGAAATAAAACGAATATCTTATCTTATTAAAATTGCGAACCAAAAAGATTAGAAAAATCGATCTCTCCCCGGCCCTATCTGATACCAAGAGCTTAATGCAGTGATGTCGGCACACAGTACACACCTGATGTCAAACGTAAAGCAACACAAAAATCAAACAACCTATATATATATACATACATACATAATTATGTGTATATAATCGAAATCCAAGACATGCAAGACTTGTTTCAGCTCAGGTTCTTCCACAAAGTGCTCACAGGCTGAATTGCGCTCGAAACGAAACCAGATTCCTCTTCGCGAAGTCGTCGAAGGCGAAGGAGTTCAGAACAAACGCGCAAACTTCCAGTAGCCAAGCGCGGGCCAAGAACAAAATCTCCAGAATCCAATTGTGATGCTAACGTCAGTGCTGCCTTTTCCGTAGTCTGCCACATTAAAGTTTCGAACTGAAAAAACCTCAGAAATTGTTTGCAAGCCAGTGATGCCGGCATTGTTTCTTGAGAATATTTTGGGCTCGCAGCGCCATGTTCATCCCAATTGCCAAGCGTGTCACTTGGAGCGCTTGCGCTCAATGACTCAATGGCATGTTCAGAATCTGCTGGACTGCTAGCTGCAGTGTATGGCAAGAGATGTTCCAAAATTTCAGCCCTTCGCCTTGAGGATAGAGAAGTTACAAAGGACGATTGCATGACTCCATCCAACAAAGATGGGCATTCCAATAGCCATGTCGCTTCCAACAAATCCAAGACAGTTTCGTCGCCCACAACCAATGTTTCACTGTCGATCAGAAAGCCAACAATGCCGCGAAATCTATCTAAGCCTCCCGGGAAGTCCCGCAAAGGGCATTCTTTGGCATCTGTACTTTGGATTTGAAGAAAGAGTCCAGAGACTTCAGCTAAAACATCCACGTCTACTTGCAATCGTTCATCATCAATGATCACCTCCACAGTCTTATGGCCTTCTCGTATTGTTGGTGGACTCGGGCCATCTGTGGAGGAACCGAAAAAGAAACTAAACATGGCGGCATAGGATGCATGGCACACCTGGCACACCCCGACACCCCGAACCGACTTCAAACGCCACTGTTGAGACTGTTGAGGAAACTTACTCAATTCGTCAAAAAGGCAGTGTCGGTAGTGTGGCATGATGTTCATGACTGCTGTTTACTGCATGCATGTGCTTCAAATTTGTGTTGAAGGAGCGTTTTGCGCAAATTTCTGGAAAATTGTGAGTTGAAACCTTGCACAATTCACCCTTCACGATTAAGGAAAAAAACACTCAGTGTCTTTCCATGCGTGGTCTGCCTGTTGCACTGCATCCAAGTTGTGTGGACTTGGTGACTGGCACATGATGAACCCCATGGAGCCATAAAACATCATAAAACAACGCAAATGTCATCCATGCAATACACTTCGAGCGCCCGTGCACCTTCAACCGGCTCAAAAGAACAGGCGCAATGAGTGTCCCAGCAACAAGGTGAAAACGCAATGACACAGAAACCACCTGCCGAAATGGAGATGTTTTCACCGTAGATTCTGGCGTGTTGGTGTGTTGCAACTTGCATGACAGTCGACACCACATCATATCTATGACAAACTGGGAAATTTTGGGGTTCCACCGACTTCAGCAACAATGCTGTGATAAATTTTGTCCAGCCTATGCCTCGCTCACACTGGGGGATTAAGCCAGCGAAGATACTCTTGTTGGCTTATGACATGAGGACGGGCCAGTACAGCAGATTGGTTGTGCCTCCAACAATTGACTACCACATGGTTTGAAGTTGTGCGGAAGGTGACAAATCCAATTTTCAGGTGACCATTTTAAAAAAATGGCACCGCAACACCAAAGGCTAGGGCAGGTGGGCAGGTGGGTGTTGATGCTATATGAAAACTCTTGGATGAAAAAAAGGATCGTGTTGCTGTTCGTGTGCTGTTCGTGTTGGTGCTGGTGGTTGCTGGTTGTGACGACCACGCTGGTTTGGATGACGAGGCAAAACCCGCACGCGTGTGATTTTCTTTCCGACGGGATCCTTGTTTTTGCTCACGCCGCCTCTAACGACCCCAGGCGGTTTGCCTCACGACTTCAGATGTTCTCACGTCAGGTAGGAAGTTTTGGGTGTCAACGCCACTAAGAGGCCATGTGCGTGATGTGACTTTGGGGGGGGTGCGGGGGGGTGGGGTGGGCTAATAACGTTCATTGCTGTGCGTTCTCTTACGCTTCTGCACATACGTCATGCTACGTAGTTGTGCGTTCTCTTACACTTCTGCACATACGTCATGCTACGTTGCTGTACGTTCTCTTACTCTTCTGATGGTGTGGGGTGGGGTGGGGTGGGGGGTGGGATGTTAACGTTCCTTGCACTTCGTACATTACATGTTTCTACGCTGTAGAGATCTCTGGGATCGTTCTTGCCCGTGTGCGACATCGACGCGGTGCTACGTTGTTGTCGCATTTTGTAGCGTTCTGGCACGTGTGCTACATCTACGCGGTGCTACGTTTGAAAAAATATATTTCAAAGGAATTGGCGTCCAAAAATTCCTCCAATCGAGACTTGAATCAAAAGATTCGAGATTACATATACAGTTTTGTGTGGAGATGCAATGCGGCCAAGGATGCGAAATTGAAAGAACTTGGCACGTTGGCAAAGATTTGCAAGTGAAAAATACAAAAACTTCGTTTTTTTTAATGTATGGGGACAAAAAATGTATGCTTCGACCACTGTAAATTCATGAAAACGACTACAAAGTCATACAAATACCAATAGAAATGCAAGTCATGTCAAAATGCGAATGTCACAAAACCCTGGAAGGGTTGCAAAACTGCAAACTGAGATGCTGGAAAAAATGTCAAATTGCGCGGGGTCATTGCGGGCGGCGTGACCTTTTTTTTCTATTGTTGTTTAAGTCTAAGTTATTAAGTTGCGAGTTACTTGTTGTTATTGAATTTGGCTGGGGAATTGGGTTCCCGGATTGGTTTTTAGCGTCTTCCCCAAAATTAGTACCGCTGTGCGTTTTTTGGTTCCAATCTGGTTTCGTGTCGTGGATTTTGTTGAATTCTTTCCCCCTGGGCACTCTCCGGGAGTTCAGGATCTCGAAAGCAATGAAAAGGGGAACTTGGCATTGGCATCATATCACCTGACAGGCCAACAGGTAACGTGGATCCGATATTTTGTTAAGGTACAACGGCGTCAGAAAGCATCAAAACAAACTGGAGCCGCTGCCTTGAGAGCCATTCAAAAATAAAACCCCCATCAAACAACGATATACATGAAATCTGCCAAGGCGAACCTAACCAAGTTCACTCAGATGCTGCAAACGGGCGGGAACGGACGCGCTGCCACAATCACCTCCCTGGCCACTCCAGCCAGGAAACCAGAAAACCGATCCAATTCGATAGCAGGATTAAGGTCTCACTCGGTCTCGCCTATACGTCACAGGCAGGCAAGCGTTGGCCATGAAATGCGTTCCCAACCATTGCAACCATTGGAAACCTGCAAAACGACGGTGCAATCCGAAAGAAAGCAGGAGGAAATGAAAACAGGATTGGACAAGAAGATCTGACGATGACAAGTTATGAATGATGATGAATGGTGACAATGATGATTAATGAATGATGAATGATGAACGATGAATGATGAATGATGATGATGATGACGATGATGATGACGATGATGATGACGACGACAATGACGATAATCATGATGATGATAGCGGAATGATGATGGAATGATGATGCATTCTGAGCGACGTATGAACCGTATGAATAATGTAGATAAAAACGGCACTCAGCATCATACAAGCCTAGCTGTGTCAAACATGGTGTTCCACCCGGAAATTTTTACACACAAAATATTTCTACACACAAATGTTTCTACACAGTTTTTTTTACAACGAGAAACCTTTACACACACACACACAAACTCTTGCACGGTAAAATTGCGCGCGCGCACGCGCAAATATATACATATATACATATATACATTCTCCAGACAGACGCTTTCAGGCTAGCACCTGCAAGCGTTGTGCCAATGATCTTTACAACCACGGCAAATTTTCTCTTACGCTTGCCATCCGAACATCGCCAGCGGGGAAGGATCACGCCTCATCAGATCAAGGATGACCTCAATGAATCGCGTTTTGCAACGTCTGGGTAACGTGCCAAAAGCGAGACATGTCGCATCTTTGCTGCAAGACACGAACCGAAGCCAAAGTTCATAGCAAAAATGGAGCCCACAAGTCGAAAGTCAAGGTACATGCTACGTCATGGGATTTGGATTGACATAGAATGATGTGACACCTTACACCATAGGATTTGTGCTGGCATAGAAAAATGTGACACCTTACACCATGGGATTTGTGTTGGCATAGAAAGATGTGACACCTTACATCATGGGATTTGTGTTGACATAGAAAAATGTGACACCTTACATCATGGGATTTGTGTTGACATAGAAAAATGTAACACTTTACGTCATGGGATTTGTGTCGACATAGAAAGATGTGACACTTTATGTCATGGAATTTGTGTTGACATAGAAAGATGTGACACCTTTCACCCTGAGATTTGTGTTGACATAGAGAGATGTGACACCTTACACCATGGGATTTGTGTTGACATAAAAAGATGTGACACCTTACGCCATGGGACTTGTGCTGCCATAGAAAGATGTGACATGTTATGGCATGGCATTTGTGTTGACATAGAAAGATGTGACATGTTATGTCATGGGATTTGTGTTGACATAGAAAGATGTGACACCTTACGTCATGGGATTTGTGTCGACACAGAAAGATGTGACACCTTACATCATGGGATTTGTGTTGACATAGAAAAATGTGACACCTTACATCATGGGATTTGTGTTGACATAGAAAGATGTAACACCTTACGTCATGGGATTTGTGTCGACATAGAAAGATGTGACACGTTATGTCATGGAATTTGTGTTGACATAGAATGATGTGACACGTTATGTCATGGAATTTGTGTTGACATACAAGGATGTGACACCTTACACCATGGGATTTGTGTTGACATGGAAAGATGTGACACCTTACGCCATGGGATTTGTGCTGCCATAGAAAGATGTGACATGTTATGGCATGGCATTTGTGTTGACATAGAAAGATGTGACATGTTATGTCATGGGATTTGTGTTGACATAGAAAGATGTGACACCTTACGTCATGGGATTTGTGTCGACACAAAAAGATGTGACATGTTATGTCATGGGATTTGTGTTGACATAGAATGATGTGACACCTTACACCATGGGATTTGTGTTGACATGGAAAGATGTGACACCTTACGTCATGGGATTTGTGTTGACATAGATGTGACACTTTACGGCATGGGATTTGTGTTGGCAAAGGAAAATGTGACATGTTATGTCATGGGATTTGTGTTGACATAGAAAGATGCGACACCTTACATCATGGGATTTGTGCTGGCATAAAACGACGTGACATGTCATGTCATGTCAGGGGATTTGTGTTGACAAAGAAAAATGTGACACCTTACGCCATGGGGTTTGCATTGAAAAAGAAAAATGTGACACGTGTTTTTTGGGATTTGTGTTGACATAGAATGATGTGACACCTTACACCCTGGGATTTGTGTTGACGTAGAGAGATGTGACACCTTACACCATGGGATTTGTGTTGACATAGAAAGATGTGACACCTTACGTCATGGGATTTGTGTTGACATAGAAAGATGTGACACCTTACGCCATGGGATTTGTGTTGACATAGAATGATGTGACGCATTGTGTCATGGGGTTTGTGTTGACATAAGAAGATGTGACACTTTATGCCATGGCATTTGTGTTGACATAGAAAGATGTGACACCTTACGTCATGGGATTTGCGCTCACATAGTAAGATGTGACATGTTATGTCATGGGATTTGTGTTGACATAGAAAGATGTGACAGCTTACGTTATGGGGCTTGTGTTGACATGAAAAGATGTGACATGTTACGTCATGGGATCTGCACTGGCATAGAAAGATTAGAAAGATGTGCCATGTCAGGTCATGGGGTTTGTGCTGACAAAGACAGATG